CCCTCCTTCTCACACTTGGCCTGCAAGTTGGAAAAAAATGGTAGAAAAATCAATTGTTTGGCTCAACAAAATCGATGCCAGACAGGGTGTTAATGTTTTTTGTTAAACAATTTGAAAAATTCACGAAAGAAGAATTTATAAATAATACTAGTTGGATGCACATGCAATGCACGTGTTTTACTTTAGTTGGCTATTTAATAGCGTCGAGTGATTTTTAGTTATTGTACTCAAACTTCGGACGAAATCTTTGTTTGAAGATTGCCAATTAATAAGTTTTTGTCATTTAACTTAAAGGACGTTAGATTTACATTTCCAGAAGTTTTTTTTTCCTGAATCTAACTTTTCGTGAATAGTTGACCGACTGCGATTAGAGAAAAAAATTAAGCTTTAACTCGTGGAGTATAAGCTTTAAACATATGGATGCATAATCTTAGAAAGAGAATTGCATCCCTCAATACAAGATTTGTTTGGCTAACGAAAATATTCGATGTAGTAGTGAGCAAATGTCGCCTTGGTTGGTCTGCATGTGTTTAGAATGAAAATGTGAGAATTTCTATATTAAGAAATATCGTAGAACTTAACGGAAAAATGTAGCACAGAATTAGTAAGAAACTTTACCTCTTCATATAAAACTTATCTATCAAGTAGAATAGATGCTAAAAGAGTTACATTGATGCTAATTCCGATGGCGTACTGCAGTACACCCAGCAACCAGGGCAGGGGCAACTTTTTACGTGGTTATTAATAGAGGGTAATTCCTACAAAATCGTGGATCCATTGTCCCAATTTGAGGCTTCCGAGTTCAGCACAAGCTATCAAAAGACTAACCAGCGTATATTCATTCGGTCGTACATTCTCAAGCTGCATCTTGGCGAAATTCTCAGGTTTTTCGCTTCTGGCATAGCCAAAGATCATTGCTGTCCATGAAACGACATTTCTCACAGGCATGTTATCGAAAAGCTGCTGTGCAACATTCATTCTCCTGCAAGAAATAAACCCAGCAATTACAGTCGTCCAGCAGACGACATTTCTCCTATTCATCTCATCAAACACCTTAAGGCCATCATCTGGAAACTGGTTTTTGAAATACAAATCCATCAATACGTTCTCCAAATACACATCTCGAAAAAACCCAGATTTAATTGCGAAGTGCGAACCCTTGTACCTCTTTCACTTTACCAACGCAAGAACAAGTTAAACACACCTTAATTACAAAAGGGAAAGTAAACTTATCTGGGGCCACGCGTAGGCATATCATGAGATTGTAGATATGAATAGCCCTGTACGAACGGCCATTAGAAGTCTATGCTCTAATAAGTATATTCCAAGTGAAAGTCAGTGGGTTTTGAATTTGACGTAACAATAACGTCACATAATCGATTTTCCTGTATTCGGAGCAAACACGAAGCAGCTTTGTGACGATTAATTGGCCCTTATGGAGACCGTTTTGAATGATTTTCGCATGGATTTGCTTCATTTGCTTAAAATTAGAGCATTTTTGGAGTGATACAATGGCATCTTGAGCTCAAGCTTACCGTATTTGAAGTTAGCTAACCGGATATGAACTTGGCTTACCGGATTTGCAAGAAGACTCTGTTTTGTTGAGAAAACAGAGGAATTATCGGATACGACATTCACTCATCGTAACTTACCAGATATGCTATGAACTTACGGGTTTTGCATAAAATGCTCTGTTTTATTAATTTCTCAGCTGTATTTGGACTCTTCAAAGATCATCGAGGTCTCTAATATTACCACTGATGGATTTTAGAAGACAAAGAGGACGGAATGTTGATTCATTCCATTCAAACGAAAATGGAAATACAGAGAAATTAATCAAACTCCCCGTGTGCGCACGGGGAGCATC